AGACACAGAATCCCAAGCAGGCTCCAGGCTCTGAGCTGTCAGCACAGGGCCCAACACGGGACTTGAACTCAAGAACCACGAGATCATGACCCGAGCCGAAGTCGGATGCTCAACTGACTGAGCCACCCAGGCGCTCCATGGGAGCAGGACTTTTTTGAGGTTTGTTTGTGTCAGGACCTCATTGTTTCCTTGTTTTAAGTTTTTTGGTATTCATTAAGTCTGGTCAGGCCACGCTTTCTGGACCCAAAAGGTGCTAACAGAATAGGAGGGTGGGTCATATCACGGCCTGTGTCCTGAGGGAGATCTCGTACTGTGTGCAGTGGGCACAAGGGATTGCTCTTGTCTTCTTACGGTTTCGTGTGAGTTTCTGGTTATTTCAATTTAAAGGGTTCATTTTTAAGACAAGGAGCGTGTGGCCTGCTGGGGTACTGTGGGTTCGGCCCCTCTGATACCCCTTCCTCGATCCCATGGCCTCGCCTCATGGCCTCACGCTGCCCTTCAGAAGGTCCCCTCCCTGTGTAATGGCCGCCTTGTCCTGCCTGTGATTTCTCGGCAGGATGATCGTGGAGCTCCACCGGAAGGTCTCCAGCCTCATCGAATTCTTAAAACAGAAGTGGGCGCTCCACGAAGTGCGGATCGTATCCTTTTACTACTAAAACAAACTCGCCCAAACTCCGCGGCCCCTGCGCCTGAGGGTGGGGTCTTGCTTCTCTGGCCTGAGAGTACAGCGGGCCCACGGGGTTACGTAGAACCAGAACTAAACCTGTAGCCCCTTGTCCTGGGGCTCGGGTGTGAGCTCCTTCCTGTTGTCCACACTGCCGGTGGCTGCATCTGGTCCATGTGGCTCGGGGTAGGGGACGTGCACGGCGTCCCCGCTGGCAGGCTGAGTGGCACGGCCGAGGACAGCCCAAGACTTCCTGTGTCCCGGGCTGCCCCCAGCCGGGAGGGGCTCGTTGGGTGTGACATCGGTGAGGGAGGAGGTGCCTGGCCGGTGGTCTGCTCGAGGCCCGGCACTGCCCGGTGGGGCCCACTGCTGCGGCTGCTCCTTGACCTCTGTGGCAGCGGAAGACGCTGGAGGACCGGCAGCTGCAGCACTCACTCGCGGCGCCCGCGCAGGAGAAGGTGGCCCTGCACCTGTTCCCCGGAGAGAGCTGCACGCTGACACCGCTCCCGGGTGTGGCCCGCGTGGTGCACTCCAAAGCCTTCTGCACAGTGCACTGGCAGGAGGGCGGCCGGTGCAGGCAGAGCGCCAGGGACACCCACACATTGCCTCCAGCGCAGATCCTGGGCATCCAGAGCGGCCAGGGCACGGCCAGGGGCCAGGTGAAGTGTCCACGGGGTGGCACCGAGGGCAAGGGCCCCGGACGTCCCCCTCCGTCCACCGACGCCTCGCAGAGCTCCGGAGAGAGTTCCCCTGAAAGTGCCCCCGGGGAGGGGGCCGCCCCAAGCCTCGGTGGTCTAGACACTCCTGACAGGCTCCAGGATGCGGGGGCGCGGCTCGAGAAGACCCCCACGGCTGCTCCTGCAGATGGCCCCGCCCGAGAGCCCGGGGACGTGCCGTGCACCTGCGGCCAGCTCCCAGAGCTGGAGGAGGAGCTCTCCCTCCTTGACCCCTTCCCCCGCTACATGAAGTCCTGTCAGGACCTCATCATCCCCGAGCAGTGCCGATGCGCGGACTCGCGGCCCCCGGGGTGCCCCTCCCCAGAGACTCGTGGTCCTGGCAGCGCGGAGGCGGCTGACCTTGCCCGGGCCGGGGCCCCATCCCCCGTCCGGGCCCCACCGGGTCCAGAGCTTCAGTCCAGTCCCGGGCTCCAGCCAGATGTTTGCACTAAAGACTTGGCAGACGCACCCGCGGAGGAGCCCCAGGACAAGGGGAGCCCCCTGGAACCCCTGCCTCAGGGACAGCCTGCCGCCAAGCCTCCGAAGGACGTCCCTGCCAGCCGGCTCGCCCAGCAGCTCCGTGAGGAGGGCTGGAACCTGCAGACCTCCGAAAGCCTTACGCTGGCCGAAGTCTACCTCATGATGGGCAAGCCGAACAAGCTGCAGCTGGAGTACGACTGGCTGGCCGTGCTGGGCCCCGAGGGCCAGGCCCCCGGCGGGCAGGCGCAGGGCCCCCGCGGCGGCTCCCCGCCCCCCACCTTCCACAAGCAGCGCCTGCTCAGCTGCCTCCTGAAGCTCATCTCCACCGAGGTCAACCCCAGACTGGTGAGTGCGCCCCGGGGCTCTTGGCGGGAGGGGAGGAGGGGGGATCGGGGTGACCCTGCGCGCCCAGGGCTCTCAGCGGGAGGGGAG